CTTGACCTTTTTATCAATTAGAGAGACTTCAGGTTTGCACCCCCACGTATCCATCTTCGTGAGAAGATCCAGTACATACTATCTTTGGGATAGGACCATCCCCTTAGGTTTATGGGCTACTTCAATCCCAATAAATTATTCGAACTGTCTCGTTAGTTGAACAATCCTTGCCTCATCATTACTATTGATAATTATGTCATCCACATACACAACAAGTATAATAGTGTGACATTCACGTTACCGAAAGAACATTGTGTGGTCTGCATTGATTTGCCAACATCCCAATTTATCCATTGTCATTTTAATTTTGTCAAACCAGGCTTGAGTAGACTGCTTCAAGTCATATAATGACTTCGTGAACCTACACACTTTGCCCACTGTATGGGATGTGCTGAATCCTGGTGTTATCTCCATATATACTTTCTCTAGTAGCTCCCCTTGAAAAAAAAATATTCTTCACATTAAATTGGTGTAACCTTCATCCACCATTCACTGCTAGAGAAACCAATGTCCTCACTATGCTTATCTTTGCTATCGGTGCAAAGGTTTCACCGTAGTCAATGCCATACGTTTGACTGTACCCTTTTGTCATTAGTCATGCTCTGCACCTCTCCACCTTTCCTTTTGGAGTTTGCTTTACCGTGAAGTTCCACTTGCATCCAATTATCTTCTTCTCTGTTGATAATGGTACAATCTCCCATATTCAGTTTTGATCAAGAGCTCCAAGCTTTTCATGCATCGTCGCTTTCCACTTGGGATTTTCTTTAACAATCTGTCAACACTTGGGTATAGAGACAAAGTCCAATGATGCAATGAATGTTCTATGCAAAGGTGAGATATTATAATAAGGAACAAAGTTTGCAATGTCAAGTTCCCACCCAAAACGATCAGAACAATGTCTTGCATTGCTGCGGGAGGTCCGTAACGTTGGAGGGGTAAGAGTAGATGGAAGAGTAATATTATCTGGGAGTTTTGAATCAAAGGTGGATGGTGTAGGTGTCTCAAGAGTCAGGGAAGACCGGGGCAAGGGACTTGTTGTCACTGCAGGATTTGTTCTCTCATTTTGTTTTTTCCTCCGCGTATACACCCTTAGCTTACCTTCAATCTGAATCTTACCACCACTAGGGTCAATCTCCTCAATTTTTGTCTCCTCAGTTGATTCATCCCACATCACAAGACGTGACATTTCTCCCACTTGCACCACTCCATCACTAATACTACACACTCTCTCTCGACTCATATCTCTAGTGGTTGTTGAGTCACCAAAGTGTGAATTCACCTCTAAAATATAGTACGGTTCAAATTCTCTGAAAGACACATCCATACTCTCAAATATTATCTTCTCGATCGAGCACCAACATACATAATTCTTCTGAGTAGCAGAATACTTCACGAACACATATTTCGTAGTTATGGGATCCAACTTCCTTACAGCTGGCCCGCTGTCTTTCACAATGCATACACATCAAAATACTTTCAATAGAATGATCCCACTATTATCGTCTTTCAACATCTGACAATGAAACTTTCAATCCAACACTCTCGAGGGCATTCTGTTAATTAATTGAGTCGCTGTCAAAACTGCTTGCCCCCACAAGTGCTTTGGGACATTCATCATGATAATCATGCTTCAAGCTACCTCTAGAAGGTATATATTCTTCTTTTTTGTCACTTTGTTTTGTGTCGATGTGTATGAACATGTGGTTTGATAATATATCCCTTGGGCTGACAAATTTTCTCCAAACACCTTGTTGGTACTCTGTCTCATTATCATATCTCAATACTTTCACTACAACACCATATTGAGTTTGAATTGCCCTGCGAAAGTCTTTAAAGCAGGCGAGCACATCACTTTTATTTCTCATTGGATATAACCAAGTAAAACGAGAAAAACAATTAATGAAAGTCACAAAATATCTGTAGCCATCCATCAAAATTGTAGAACAAGGTCCATCTGAATGCACCAAATTAAAAATATAATAACTTTTTTACCAGAACTAACATAAGAGTTTCTGGTATGCTTGCCAAACTCACAAGCATCACACACAAATTATTTACTTTTTCATTCAATGATGAATACAAATAACTCAATAAATTAAACGAAGAGTGTCTCATGTGTCTGTGATGTAGCAACAATACATCCTCCACACTCCCCTTTCCTCAGATCCTTCTGCTCCAGCATTATCAACCATGGATACCAAGGTTGAGTTTATCCCTTCTCTATCCAAGTACCAGAGTCCACTATGCCACGTGTCAGTTACAAGTTTCCGGCCAATCCCCTTCTCTTGGAAGATCTCCTTTGGAATATTAAATGAAACAACATATTTTTGTTGAAGTACAATGACACTAATGGATAAAAAGTTATATGGAAAGGAAGAAGCATGCAAAATATTGTATAAAATCATAGAATTAGTACACCTCACTGTACCATCATCAGTTGTTTAAATGCTTTCTGCAATTGCTAGGTGGGTATAGGAAAAAAACTCACTAGCGGCACCTGTCACATGTTGAGATGCACCGGAATCTACTATCTATTTTGGTGAACTTGTGGTGGATATAGAGGTAAGATCATGCGTATCACGAGCACATGTGGCTAAGTGAGCATAACTAGCAATGTTCCTCTTGGATGATGATAAGGTGGATGCATTTTCAGTGACACCACATGCCGTTCTCTGCTTCCTCTTCAACATCTCTAGAAACTTACGATGCTCATTGGTAAATACCACCTGTCTTTCCCTCGTTCTCTGTTACCATCATGTTTGACTGATAGCCCCCTCTAGACGATCCATGTCCACCCATCTCTCTTTGCTTGGGTGGCTTTGGACAAACCCTTCTCAGGTGTCCCACTTCTCGACAATTATAGCACCTGTCATACTTGAGCTCTAGGCAGACAAAGCTGATTGCATTCCTGGAAGTCTATTCGGCTGAGCCGAAACACACGTGTTGAGGTTGTGGCTCCCGTCAAGACATTAGCTCTATGTATGAGTCTAATCAAGGCCTTCAAAACTTCAAGATCTAGCTTTCCTAGAAGCTCCAATCTTTTACCTCTCTTCGTTTCCTGACATCCTCAATCACAACTATCCAAGTCCAGAGTCTACAGATCGCGTGAATTTGATACTTCACCTTTGTATGTTGCGATCACATTGGTCGATTGCATGCTTTGCTTTGGCTCGAGTTCACCCACTTCTCCTTTGGTATTCCACTGTTTTTTCGGCCTCTGTCGTATGCTACCTTCTTTCGCACACCTAGCATGGTGTCAAAGTCGCAACCCCTTTCCACTGTTTCATGCATGACCCCATTTGATTTCTTCGCTGCACAACCGGACACTAAATTCCAGACTGCACTTCGCCTTCTCTGTCACAGTAAATCACACTGAAGGATCGAACCAGTTGTCCTCCGTGCTTCTTCTCAGATTGTGCGCCTTCTTTTGCCGCAGACAATCGCACGAAGCCGCTCTTTTCTCGTTGATCTCGTAGGTGCCACGTTCAGGTAGGTGTGGCGATCCCAGGGGGTCTTGCTGGGTAGCTCCAATCGCCACTTTATCGTTGTTCCGCAAATCTCCTAAGCAGGGATCCCATCATTGCCTTCTCAGTTTTAGTAAGGATGCGTTAGTCACGGCCGTTTTGCGATCATTCCCGCGATCCTTTCAACTGCGCAATCCCTTCCCGCATGATTCTGTTTCAGGCAACGCCCTCTATCGCGATCCTTTCCTCTGTATTGCTATCCTTCTCACGATCCTTCACAATGTCGTCTCGTCCCAGACAACTTTGCCCAAAGTGGTTGTGAGGGTTAGGGCCGAGGCTCTACCATATTGGAATGATTTTGCAGTTAAACTTACCCATTTCATTAACATTTTGATTTATATAGCGCCATACAACATTTATAGATAAATCTCTAGATATCTTCTATTTTCAAATAAAACCCTCCATTAGATACAAATCTCAACGGTTTCCATCTTATTAGCATATATATGGAATCACAAGAACTGAAATAAATGATATGATTAGATTCAAGGATTCAAATTTCTACGCTACTAGTCGTAATAACTTTAAGCTATACAGTGGCATTATTGAAGTCATGCATCGCTCTATATCTCAGTAGGTTGATACTTCTACCTACTAAAATAATTTTACTTTCCAAGTCATGCAAATTTACATTAATTAGCTAATTTTCATCAACTGAAACTTCAGAGAGATCCAAAACGAAATAAGATCTTCAGTTCGTAACTTTATTTTTTTTCATATTTTGAAGGGCCAAATAATCTTTCTGTCATTTGCATCATAGAAATGTAAAAGTTTTGTATCCATAATCACTGCATCAAATGAAGTCTGAAAAAAATTAATAAAAAATTTTTCTGAACGAATTCTGTATCGTTCTAGTAACAAAACTGAAATTATCAGCATATCCTGAAAGATTCTTAATCTAAATAATAAATGCTGCATAAAATTACCAAAATTGGTTTTCAATACCACTGCTTAACGCTTCTTGCGGTGATTACATGAGCTCCTTCGTGACTTCAGAAGCCGGATACATGGCTTCTTGATTAGTTAGCGGTTATTGCAATTGATGAGAGAAAAGGATGTTGTCTTGTGATACAAGTGATGGATTAATGTTTCTGCTGATGAATAAAGAAGTAGAATTGAATTAGGTTGAGATGATAAGGAGAATAGAAGCTGCAATTAGTGTTTTTTTGTCAAACTGTAGATCAAGTTGCAATTCGGCTTGATACCGAAATATAATGCTTGTAAATCAAAATTTTAGTTGAGTCATCAGAATTTTGGGTCCACTCTGAAAAAAATAACAAGAAGGGGTTGGATTTTCTTTTTAACTTCAAGTTTAGGGGTTCGGTTTGAGTGAAATCCCAAATCCACTTTTAATAGCAGTAAAGATTTTGTTGTTAGATGATCTATACAGTGCATTAATTGATTCCTTTGTCTTATCTTTGCTTTGAAGAGAAAATACAGACCTTCTGACTGGGGCTTGTTTCTTTTTTCTTAAAGCTGCAGAATTTCCCAAATCCTGGATTATCAAGACCTTCCATGCCTTCACTAAATGCCCCGATATCTGCACCACAGAGTGCACAATCCCTTCAACAGCAATGGATGGCTAATCAAGGAAAGCAAACATATGGGACTTCATTTCCTTCTTCTTCACATAGGCCCCATACAAAGCAACAGTATTCACCGCCAGTTACTCCAAGTCAGCTGCAGGTTTCATCTTCCCAACAGCAGCAACAACAACAAAAGCAAGTTCAGCTGCAGCTGCAGCAACATAATCTTCAACAACAACAGAATTTTTCCATGCCACATCATTTGCAAGATCTCCACAGTAATAGGAACCAACAATCACTTCAACAGCAACATCAACAAGGTCCCAAAGGTCATGCTTCTATAAATCAAAGGTTAAACAAACAATTAGGACAACCAGTTTCAGGTAATTCTGGGTCTGCCATTCCAATAACTGAAGACCCTCCTGAAACTGGTAATCAGATTCTCAGCAAAAGAGGCATTCAGGAGCTGTTAGCCCAGGTGATCTTTTCTTTCATCAGGCTCAGCAGCTATCATTTTGTATTGGATTTCTGCTTGTAATCTAGAAACAATTTATGTTTATTTTAGAAACACATGATTGATGCAGATTTTTGTTGAGCTAGTATTTGATGAGAAAAATTGCAATTCTTAATTGATTATGCGTGTGGAGGGTGTTATAAATACCGAGTTCAATCTTCAGCTACTTCAGGTGTCTAATAAAAGGAAAAAAACACTCAGAATCACCCAAAAGTAAAATTAGATGAACAAGATATCTGTTACAAATTTTCATTGTGGACTTTAAATGTGTGCTATAGTATGTGTTGTGCCAGGGAAGGGAGCTCACCCTGGTTATTCATCCTTTTGTGAATATCCAGTTCACAATTAGAACTCATTGCAAAGTGAATGATGCCTCAAGGTGACGGTGGCAATGTCATTGACCATTATATATCTATGCTTATATAGTTTGTGTATCAGGTATAATAAATTTTGGATGAGTATCTTGTGTTTTAATTATATAAATATGAAGCAAATATTACTTGCCTATATGTTGACCGAGCTGTAATCTCCAGTTAATAATGCTTTCTTTTCTTGGTAGATTGACCCGTGTGAGAAGTTGGAACCAGAAGTTGAAGATGTGCTTATGGAGATAGCTGATGAGTTTGTCGACTCTGTAAGTTCTATTTTCTGGTTGACATGTCTACCATGTTTATGTAGAATGTTAAAAGATAATGTTGATTTCATTGCTTTTAGATCATTGAAAATTACTATTTACTAAATGTGTCAGTTTGGGTTTGACCTGGAGTTGACACTATTTTAATATGCTTGATCTGAATTTGACCTATTTATTATATGGGTCAAAATATGTGTCCCATAACCAAACCCAATTCAAGCCCTATTAGGTAACTGTTTACTTTATGGAGCATGCATTTTATTTAATAGATATCACCTAATTCACTTGAATGTGACCCCTTCAATCCAATTAAAATGACCCGAGCCAGCTAACCCAAACCCAAATGGTAATCGGGTTAATTTTAAGTTATTTTGGCTATTCACCTTAATAATAATTTGGTCTATATGCTGGACCCAAAGAAACCCGATTTGACGTGGATTTTTAATTGTATTCTGGTGAGTCTGTTGGGTCGGGTCATTTATTGGCACCCCTTCTATTTTTATGGTATTCTTCTTTTATAATATCAACATAACATATAGTATCTGCAAGATTAGATGGAGGATCTGTTTATGTTACTCAGTATTGCTTAGCTTGAATGACTTTGATTTGGTAAGCTTTTGAATCATGTATATCTACTTTCAAAGTATGGATTTTCTTTGAAACATTAGCCAATCTTTGAAAATTAATTCAAAGACTCCGCACAATATGATCTCTCAATCAATTACTAGTGCGCAAACAAAGGCATAGAAATAATTTTCTTAGTAAATAAATATACAACCAAAGCAATATTGGTTATCTTACAATCGGCCTAGATTAATTATTTCAACAATCTACTGTACCCCTGTGAACTAATACATAATTTCTCTAGTCTAATTTTCAACAAAAATAATATGAGACACCAAAATAAAAATCTAAATTATTTAGTCTAATCTCAACAATAGATAATAATAACGTATTTAATTATATTTTTAAATTACATAAACTAAAAGTAGATAAAGATATGTATTTATATGTTTTGTGGGTATAAAAGAAGAAGGGAGAAGAGCAGGAGGAGGAGGAGGACTTACGGTTGTGGCTCTGGCCTCTGGGATTCCTGATCAAGAAAGAAGAAGATGCAGGGAGGGGCTTACTGTTAGTGATTGCTTGGCTGAAGGTAGAAGAGGGTTTGCAGCTTTTCCTTAGTCAAAAGCGGGAGTGGAAGTTTGGCGACTGCAAGAAATGATGAGAGGGTTTGTGAAGCCATAGTGTCAGCTTCTTAAATTGAAAGACAAGGCATCGATGGGCACAGGATTCTTGCATAGATCATGGTTGTGGTGGCTAGGAGAGGGTCAACAGTACGCATGAGGGAGCAAGGTGTGTTTTGAAAAAGAGAAGGGGTTGTGGTCGTGGTTGATTCTCGTGGATTACCCTCACAAGTTTCGGAAATTAAATTGGTTGATGCAGTTTTGGGTTATTACAACATTAGCTAATTTGATGGCAGTAATGGTTGATAATTCCTTTTTCTTAAATGTGATCCTTTGATGTTTATAGTGAGGACATAATTGAAAAAATAGCTCTCAAAATCTGATTTGTACATTCACAAAATGGGCTTAAATAGGGTATTACATTATTTTACAAATAAACCCCTAGACTTATTTAATATTCTCTTTTTACCAAAAGGCCCTAAATATGGTCCAATTCTCAGCACGCCTTCTCAAGATGGGCAAAAGATATTCACTAAGCCCATCTTGCAACATAACCTTGCACATCTAATGAACTAAGGCTTTTAGTGAGGCAGTCCACTTGCTCTCCATTATCAACATGACTTAGCTCCAGTAGCTTTAAGCAACTTTTCCTTGATGAAGAATCTATCAATCTCCATATGTTTTGTTCTATCGTGTTGCATTGGGTTGTTGGCAATGTAGATTGTTGACTTGCTATCACACCAACAAGGCTCTCAGCCACATCATCTCTACAACTCCTAAGTCCATGGCCCTGTACCTAAGTCCATGGCCCTGTACTCTACCTCAGTTGTTGACCTCGCTACTTCAGACTATTTCTTGCTCTTCCAAGAGATCAAGTTGCCCTCTACGAACGTGCAATATCCTGAAGTGGATCTTCTGTCATCCTTAAGCCTAAATCCCACCAACTCTAGATTCGCTCTCCTCGTTTTTTTGTTCCTCAACTAATTCATCCCACATCACAAGACAAGAAATTTCTCCCACTTGTACCACTCTCACCATTGCTACTCACACTCCCTTGCCTCATATTTTCAGTATATGACAAGTCACCGAAGGGTATCTTTAGTATATGGTGAGTCACTGAAGAGTGAGATCACATCTTGGATGTAGTATGGTTTAAATTCTATAATTGACACATTCATACTCACAAACGGTCTCTTCTCTATCGGGCTCCAACGGACATAATCCTTTTGGGTAACATAATAACCTACAAACATGCATTTCACAACTTTGAAATCCAATTTTCCTACCGATGGCCTGTTATCCTTCATAAAACATACACATCCAAACACTTTCAATGGGAGGGTCCCACTATTATCTCCTTTCAACATCTGACAGGGGACTTTTAATCCAACACTTTGGAGAGCATCCTGTTGATCAATTGAGCAACTTTAAAAAGATGCTTGCCCTCATAATTGTTTTGGGAAATTCATTGCGATTATCATGTTTCGTGTTACCTTAGGAAGTTATCTATTCTTTATCCCTGCTACTCCAAATTGTGCCGACCTGTATGGACATGTGGTTTGTTGTTATGTTCCTTGGGCTGACAAGTATTTTACAAATGCTTTGTTGGTAATTATCTGGCCTCAATATCTTCACCTACTACACTATTTTGAGTTTGAATTGTCTTGTGGAAGACTTTAAAACAAGCAAACACATCACTCTTATTTGTCATTCAAATAAAATCAAATAAATTGAGAAAAAAGAATAAATAAATATCACAAAATATCAATAACCATTCATAGAACTTGTAGAGCATGATCCCCAAATATCAGAATGTTTCAAGTCAAAACCCCAATCACTCATATTCCCAAAACTAATATAAGTGCTCCTAGTAAGTCTGCCAAACTCACAAGCATCACAAACAAGTTTTTGTTTATTTGTTTTTTCGTACAAAGAAAGATACAACCGACTTAATAAACTAAAATAAGGGTGTTTCATGCATCTGTGATTTTAGCAGCAACACATCCTCCACAATTCACTCAGATTCTGCTACTCTAGCACTCTCTACCATGAATGTTAACGCTGAGTCAATCCCTTCTCGGTCCAAGTACTAGAGTCCTCTATGCCACATTCTAATCCAAGTGTCCGACCTGTCCCTTTATCTTGGAAGATCACCTTAGGAATATAAAAAAAAAAACAATAACACTAATGTATAAATGATTCATTGAAAAAGGAGCATGCAAAATATTGGACAAAGCCATATAATTGTTACATTCATTGTACCCTTATCAACTATAGCTTGCGTTGTACCATCAACAGTTTGAATGTTCTCTGGTAATGTCAAGGGAGTATAGGAAGAAAACTTTCTAGCAGTATCTTTCACATTTTGAGATGCACCAGAATCTACTATTCATTTTGATGATCTTGTGGTGGAAGTAAGGGCACGAGCATATGTATCACAAGTACTTTTTTCAAAGTGAGCATAAGTGACAATGTTACCTTTTTTATGATGACTGGTTAGAAACATCCTCAGTCATATCTCTTGATGCTTTCTACTTCATCTTCAACAACTCCAGACACTTATGATACTTATTGATAAAAAACCACACCCGTCTCTTTCTCTTATGTTATCATCAGATTTGCCTGGTAGCCTTAATTTTCATCTTTTCAACCACCACAGTCATGACCACGGCCTCCACCTTGTCCACGTTCACCTGTCTCTCTCTCCTTAGGTGTCCTAGGACAGGTTTTGCTTAGAGCCCAATTTCACCATAATTGTAGCACTTGCGAGTCTCCCTTTATACACTTATCATACCTGAGCTTGAGGCAGCTAAAGCTGATTGTGTACTCAGCTCAGAGTGTAGCTTCATGTGACCATCCTCTTATATCATCGCAACAATGACATAATCTAATGAAGGGATAGTCGCTTGAGCTAGGAGGAAGATTTCCTCTGATCAAAGATCGGGTTCAGATGGTCACAATTTGCAGTCCTCATTTGTGTAAAGATCTCCCCATTCTTGCACTTTAGATCGCTACATCTCTACATCGGTGAGAAGTGATCAAGTTCTGCCCAAAGCCGCTCCAACTCTATTGAGTACTTGTGAATTGATTTATCACTCTAAACCACTACATCCATCTCACGCTGATTCTGGAATATCCTCATGTGGTTCTCTACTCAGATGTCGTTCACATTTTGAATGTCATCTACTTATGAGGCATTTGATGGAACCATCAAGTTTAGTAGTCAGGTGTAAAGCAAGGAATGTGTGATCCTTCACTTATCCCTCTCAGCACCGTCACTCTTTGGCTTGAACCCCGTCAGATATCCCTCTAGTTTCTTCTCTACTAGTGTCTCGATCCGACGTGACCAACTCAAATATGTGGCTGATCCATCAAGTTTCAATTTATAGGAGGGGGATCTAGTTTTACTAGTGTCAGAGCGCTGAGGTAGCGGTTCACGTTGAGACGCTAGCTTCCTGTATAAGTCCAAGACCTTTAGAATTTCAAGATCAATCTTCCCCCAAACTTTCAATCATTTACCTTATGCATTATCTTTGTCTCTTGACATCCTCCACCACAAGAATCCAAGTCTAGGTCACTTAGATCGCACGTAAAACCGCCTCCACTTCGATCCTTCGCCTCCCTACCGTCCTATGCAGCTCAGGCCCTGGTCCGCTGCCTTCCTCAGTCCCAAGCTGCACATAACATCACACCTGCTCTACCTCCCAATGATATAGTCGTGGCTCGTCGAGAAAGGAACGGCGGCACTGCTGCGTACGCAGACCACCGAACCAGCCCAACCTCCAAGTGATCTAGTTGCGACTCGTTGAGAAGACAACGACGACACTGCTGCATGCATAGACCACCAAAGCGGCTTCCGTCTTGCCGAAGCTTTCTCTGTTAGCTCTAATCACGACTTATTTGCGAGGTTGCGGAAAACTTGGAGTCTCGGGTCTCTCTACGCCAATCCCATTCTCTCTACGTTGATCCCAACCGGATAAAGAAGTTCACACGAGGATGACACTGGAGGAAGAGAAAATTGAGAGTTTCGGGTAGTAGCTAACAACTAGGGTTCTGATGCTAAATTGAAAAATTAGCTCTCAAAATCGGATCTGTACATTTATAACATGGGCTTAAATAGGGTATTACAATATTTTACAAATAAAATATTCCCTTTTACCAATAAGACCCTCAATAAGGTTCAATTCTCAACAGACATTTTAAGCTGTAATGCTTCCAGATTCAACCTTCTTTATTTAATTTTTTTTTTTGGTTATAAGAAAAGTTATTTCTTTTTTCTTATTCTATTTTTGCATTTTTATGCCATTGAGAAGTTACTGCTTACATTATGTTTTTCATTCAACAGATAACAACAGCTGCTTGCTCATTGGCTAAGCATCGAAGATCCACTGCACTGGAAGCTAAGGACATAGTTCTATATGTAGGTAAGTAGATTCAGTTTGTCCCTTCATCCTTTTTGGATGAGAGCTGCTCCCCTCTTTTGTTTTTCTAGCTGATAATGTTATATCATGCTCTCGTGTTTTTTTGTTCTTTACCACTTAGAGAGAAATTGGAATATGACACTTCCTGGCTTTGGTGGAGATGACATCAAGTTATATAAGAAGCCTGTAAGAAATTTGATTTTATTTTCTATTACTTGGAATTCATGATCTTGCACTAACTGCGAGACTTTTACATTGCAATGCTTGCCTCTGGTTCTCACTGTGATGCCTGTCTGCAGCATACAACTGACATTCATAAGGAGAGGCTTGCGATGGTAAACTAATTTCTCACTTGTTTCTATGTGATGTTATATTTTTGCAAATTGATGCAGCAGTATATATCAGTGTCAGTTTTAGGTTGAAGCAGTTTATACCAAGCTCTATAGTTCTCTGGACAACTGCCAATCGCCATCTTGTCTGTGTAATTGGAGAGAGGGAGGGAATGTTTGAAAGAGCGGTAGGGCAAGGATGAGAGCTAAGAAATATATAGCGGTTAAATCAGTTGACTTAATGGGGGCTGTAGAGTTTTGTAAAGAGGTTGGTCATATGGAAATAGGTGTTGGAGTCGGTGTTGGCTTTAGGCCCATAGCTGGGTATAGGTTTAGGTTGTTAAGTTCAATGGGGGGAGTAGAAATGTATTACAAGGAATTCAATGGTGGAATTATATTTGTCATTCAACAAAAGTCTTGCAAGGAAATTACTTTAATACCAAATGATGCTTAAGTGTATCGAGGAATTGAGAGAACAACACACAAATTATTGAACTGACATCGAATTGCAATGATTTGGGGACGGTATGGAATTAGCTGTAGAGTAGGGAGAGATAAACGGAAAGTCGTGCAAGTGTTAAGGCATGGAGAGAGTAAAGATACAAATATTGAATCACATATCTAATAATTTTAATATTTTGATCACTCGTAGATACATTGTTTGGATGAAATTCTTTGGACAGCCAACTTTATTTTTTTTTTCACACTAGTTTGAAATGACACGGTTTATAATAATAGGCTGAAGACCTAATGTTCATTGAATCATCTTTAGATATTTTACATAAAATTGCTTAAGAAATAGAAAATTGCGCATTGAGAAAATGCAATTACAATTGGACTCATTGTTGAACTGACGCTAGATATTGACTGTCTTGTAAAAGGTAGGTAGGATGACTGCCATTAGGTTATAGTCATACGAAACTTTTTGGTTGAATCTTCGAAGTAGTGTTCTCACAGCAAGTATAGTTCAATTATCCACTTGCTGGTTCTGGTTTTGTGGTTGCAGTGGCTTTTCTTGAAACTAGACAAAAAGTGGAATTCGAGTAAAGCAATCAGAGTAAGGCCTTGTGAATTGTGATTGCCCGTCTTGCTCATTGGATAGGTAGCACCAGAGGTGCAAGTAGTTGTGGCTAGTTAGTTTACCTTATGGCATTTTGCTCTATAAGGACAAGGGAAAAGAGTGCATTTAAAAGCATCGATCCATGCCTTAACTGGGGATATCTGTGTATATGCAAGTTTAATTGACTCAAAATTGATTTGCTTTTGCTCAAATTTGTCTTGCTTAAAATAATTTGATTCAACTGAAATTCAATTTGCTTTAATGCCATGGTGACTTGCTTGAAAATAGTTCTATTCTACTAAAATCGACTAAATGCATAGATTTATACACGTATATGAGTGCCAACATGGTAATGCGAATGCATTTATTCAAATATGCTATACACGAGGATTCTAAGATGCACAATATCTTCATACAGGCTCACACATGCATAAATTTATGTTTTAAACACAGGTTATTCTGATGTGTGTATGCATATCAACTCATAAAGTACAGATATAAACATGACATAATTGTATAAAGTACGTGATATTTGAACTAGCAGGGAAAACAGTAGAAACACTAAAGCACACTATTATTAATAGGGAAATAGGTTTACAACACAATACAACAGAAAATAACAACACCGACATACACGACACAAGCAACACCGTGGATTCAGATGGTTGGCAATGGTGGTGGCAACCAAGAAATGCTGATGGCAGCGAGGAGGAGGTGCAGAATTGTAGGGACAACAAGTATGGAGAGTCATTGGTGATCGACGACAGGCGGACGGGTGGCTAGAAGGTGCTGCACAACAAAGTAAATGCAGGAGATGGAGCTGCCGATGTTGAGGAAGGGCATTTGGAGTGACCGGTGATTGTCCTTTTGCCTCTTTTTTGTCTGGATTTGTAGTCTATTTCGTGGTTCGGTCGGCTTTTACTTCATACTCACGATCTTTGGTTCTATTGAATATTTGTTCATATTGTAGGAATGATGTATACTCAACTTTATTTAAATTATCATAGATATTAAATATTGTACAAATATATTGACTATTTTATAAATAAGAATGAAATGATCATTATTAGATAGTGTTTGTTATTGTATGTTTGTATGTGCATGCTTGACTATGATTAAATTCATTTTTTTATGATAAAATGGGGGAATGCTGAGAAATCTATACACGTAAATGAAAAAAAGATATTAATATTGAAGTGGATTAACTTGTACAAGTTTTAGATGGTGTTCATTTGATAGTTGTATATATATAAAATGATATTGAGATGTTATTGATATAGTAAAACATCTCGAATATTATGAAATATCATGATTTATCATATTCATAATCTATAAAATGTTATATACTGATTTTTAAAAAAAAATGAACTAACATGAATATTATTTTCGTTTTCATTGTATTGTTATAGTCTAAGTGTGCAATTATTCACTGGCTTTAGTTAGCTTGTTGTTGTTTTAAACTAACATTTTATGTTTAATTAAGTGATTGAAAGATGAGCGATAGACGAAAAAATATTTATAGTGTGCAAACAATCATTAATGAGATAAATTTAATTGTACTGCTTTAATTTACTTTTTAAGCAGCTTTTTCTTTAATTTAAATGTTAGTTATAGAAAATTTTAATTTCTACATTCCGATAATCTGTTCACGTATTGGTTAAATTTCAAGTCCCGGGTCGGTTCCCTACATAATAGCTGCCCTTTTTTTCTTAAGCAAAGTTGTTTCTAATAGATTATAACTACGAGGTATTCATTCATCTCTAAATAGTATGAGTTAAGAAACTGATTCTAAAATCATAAGCCACGATCCAAGTAGCTAGAAGTTCAACTTAAAATTTTAATGTTCATATTATCTTGAACGGACTCTTAGCATTGTTTTCCGTTAATCTATAAGTCTTACTCTGAACATTCCATGTGCATATGCACTTACAGATCAAGAAGTCTATGGGAATGGCAAATGACATGGTAAGTGCAAAGAATGTTGCTGCTGGGCAGGTTGCTGCAAACTCAAAATCTCAGGCAGGCAAGTCATCTGTACCTACTTTTACCTCCCCCAAAGTGACATGAGTCGTATATTAATGTATGAGCTCATTTTACTCGTAAGAGAAAATTTAGCTGGATTCACATTAATTTTTTTATATAGCTGACAGTTGCTCTTTTTTACCCTGTTCTGTTAATTTCTTCCATTTCATTTGTTTTCAGCCTCAATTAGTTTCTTAGATGCTATGAGGTGTTTGGCTGCCTATAAGATTCAGGTTAAATAGGAATTAGTAAATATCAGGATTTATCAAATCCAAATGCTGTAAATATAAAATAATGATTGATTCCATTAATGGTTAAATCTATCAAATTTGTTTATCATGTTTGGCATAAATCCACTTATGTGGTTTTCTTCCTAAACTAAAGTCTGTTTGGCTGGATTTACGTTAAATAAAGCGCAAGTTCTGCTCAAGTTCTGCTGCCAAACACCCCATGAGATACACAATTTACTTTAAATTACATATTTTAGATCTTATATGTATTGTGTTAAATTTTGAGTATATAGGTTGCATTTTAAGTACCAAATGACCTTCAAAAAAATTGCATTTTCGACTTGTAATGTGATAAAATGGTTCAGTAGTGTTAAACTATAATATATATTTTGAAAAATCACAAAGCTAAAACCATGAACAGTTGATGACAAAAACTAGCTGAAAAAATTAGGGAGTAAAACCCAATTCTCATGTATTTACATTTGTAACATCTAAAAATCAATTAATTTTTACATTTATGCCACCTTATCGATGTATGAAAATGTAAAAAATCAAACCTTAGGTGTTAGATATGTAAATACATAAGAATTGGGTGGTATGCAAACTTAAATTTTTACATTTATGCAATTTTATCTATGCATGAAAAGGTTTATTTCATTTGTTAATGTAAAAATGAAACGATATGTAAATATGTAAGAATTGCGTGGTATGCATGTAAATGAACCTAATTTTTATCCATTAACTAATAAATTTTCAAAATTAATCTAGGCGAGTTATACCGAGCATTTCAAGTTCAATAATTTCAAAGTGTACCTAAATTAATTAAAATATTAGCTTATTCGTCCAAATTTTCAAGAAGGAAAACTAAAATATTTATCCTAATTTTTTAAAGGGAATTGCATAATTTATGATTTTCTTAAATTTAGAAAATTATGAATTAATTATTCATTCTATGAAAGTAATTATATTTATATTTTTTTATTCAAACTTTTAGTCCCAAGTAATGGAAATAATTGTAAATTATTTCATTTAATTGTGTTATGCACATCGGCATCAGGCCAAATAATAGTTTGATTCGGTTATTTTGCTTTGATTTTGATTAGTGCAGAAAAATATTAAATGGGAGAACGAGGACCGTCAGGATTTAGATCAGATGGTCCAGAAAAAATATCTATTTACAGTAGGATCTTAAAGCCATATTAATGAATAATTAACTTCAAAAAATCACATATTTACCCCAGGTCAGTTCATCCCTCACCTCCTATGTCTCAATTAACTACTATATATTTATTAAGATGGAACGGATCCTTCAGCTGTCTCTAATGTGTCAAACAATTCGAGTACAACATATTTACAGTTAACTGTGCCAGAGGGGGTTCGAACCTCCGACTGGAGGGGTCTTATACCGTGGATGTCAACCAACAGGCCGGGGCACGCAATATCATATATATAATCACAAAATGAATTTTTAAGTATTGCGTAAAAAAAATTATATGGTGGGGGATATAAGCAAAAAATAATAAAATTTATTATTTACATAAAGAAATTAGAAATTTCAGCGGATATAATCTAATTCCGCCCTTGCCTAAAGCCACCAATTTGTTAATTGAGTTCAAGCTAGACTCCCCAGCTAAGTTTGAGGCAAATTGGATAAACTCATTGTGAACTCAATTGTCCATGCTCATAAGAACTGTTTGGAAAGTCATGCATAAAAATCACAACTCCCTCCTAGCTCTTTAACACTATAAATTTGAGCTCTTAAAGTAGACACATACAATATTTTATAACAACTCTGACTTATTTTTATTTGTATCTCATCACATAGCTTTTCCTATAACACTTGTAGTTTCAACCTCAGTTTAAAGAGTCATGAAATAGGGAAAATATTACACCTGTTCACCGCACGTCCGGACGACCAACCACCAACGGCTATGTCGCCCGCCGGAATATTTTTTCCATAAAAGGAGCTCTAAGTACGACAATTTGGTGGGGTCTCTTTAATTTTAAGCTCTCTATGATAAAAATTCTCATATCTTTTTATTTTTCTCTTCGCACTTATTTTCTTTCCTTCTAAATTAAGGAAAATATGAATTTAACATTGATGAGATTCAATTTCAAAATTTAAATATTATTTTTAAGAAAATATATTAATTAAATAGATGATAAACTTGCTAAACATTTATTTTTAATGGCATTTTACATTGAAACACAAATTGCTGTCGTCGGTCACTAAATGTAGCCCAATTCGTTTTTACATGTGTTAAGGGATCATCATCAATAAATCTATTATTTGGCAGGAAACGGAGACATTGGGAATGTAGCCCAAAATATTTTTGAAATTATAGATATTTTGATTCAAAATTTAAATCATTCGTAACCTCAATTTCAACAAACTTACAATCAAATTGATCGGCTCAACGAGACAAAACCAATGACACTAAAATTGATCTTATTCGAATCAAATCAAGCACACATCGAGTTGTTAAAGCATTTTGAGAAGTTTTGGGTGCTTAATTCGAAGGTCAAATGAACTTTAAATTTGACGAATTTATAGTCAAATCGAGCATGTTAATGATACAAATCTAACTAGCCGAAGTTTGCTCAATTTTAATATTATTTAAACACTTAAATGACAGTAAAACATCATCTTATCAAGAGAATTATTTTGGGTCGTCTGATGAAGTGGTCTGGATTCTTGCAGTATTTACAGAGGATGATACTAATCTATAAATAGAGCCCAACTCACTTCAAGAAGAGGGGCGGAGGCCTAAACCGTAGACTTGGAGGAGGAGTGTAATTCGCGAGTCGTTCTAGATTTGAAGACCATTTGATAACTTTCACCATCTGTAAGTGCAGACCACCCTCATTGGTCGCCGCCGGCCACCCCCTGCTTATCATTGTTGGTAAACCCTGTGGTGTAGCTAAGCACCACAAATATGGTGTAATGCAACACTACAAATACAATGCAACAATTCACCCAGAATATGGTATTACGATCACCTGAAATACAATGTAACAACACACATCAAATATATTGTAACAATGCACTCATAATATAGTGTAATGACATGCCCTGAATATAATGAAATGACTTACTGATAATATAAGGTAACAAATAACATTATATCGAAGATCTACCGACTCTCTATAATAAATACTTAAAATTATCATATTTAGAATACAATAACTTTCTCCGAACTCTTGAAATTCTCTTCCTACATCGTATATTAACAAGTGATGTCTCTGTTTCAATCGATTAATATTGTATCACCAAATATGGCCTTCGCGGTCTACTAATGCTGCAACTCCTCACTACGACATATGTTATCGACTACGACCTATGCGGCTTATTTGCTCAAAAAGCCTCCAATTGCGGCCTTAGTGAGTCCCTGACGCTATTGCAGCTCCCCACTTCAGCTTAGTTGACCAACTCACCTACGTGGTTTGCTTCGATATCTGTGTTATGCTTCGAAATTCGTGTCAAATGATAAAAATCTGTTGGTGGTGTATCAATTATGATATCAAGTTTGTAATTTCATGTTTCATAATTTAAGGGAAAAGTGAATCTATGTATTTATTGCGGGGCACAATTACGTTCCTGAACCAAATTCCTCAGCCTGCGTTTGAATTCGTGTTCAGACAGCGTGCATTCGGCGAGGATTCCCGTCTCGGTTCGAAGCAAGTAAAGTGCGGTCTAAGAATCACTTCTCCCACCACTGCATCTGTGGCCACGGCACAATCAGAATCGATGAACGGCATTCGCGCGGCCACGTGGACGTGGCCCCGTGGTATCCTGCCGTGTCCACACCTGAGCGACTGAGCTCATGGAGTCGCTGACTCGCTAATTTCTTCTCCGACTTAGTTTTTTACAGTATTAAAATAGACTTAACGCTGTTAGATTCTGCTGCCTTTCGCTGAGAGGATTTCTTCTGTTCTCATCGATCAATGGCAGGGCTCCACTACAAGTATTTGATCCTCGGAGGAGGAGTAGCAGCGGTGTGTTTGATCTACCTTTTCCCCCATTTTCTCAATGATTTTTTTTTTAAAATTTCAATCGATCGATTGTGATTGAATTCTGATTGTAAAGTTACTATATGATGGATGAGATCGCAGGTTTTAAGATTTTAGGATTATTCTCTTGTTGCTGCTATATTTTTCTTACTAATTTACTGCACTGGAAGGATTTCGTTGACCTAGTCCTTTGCTTCGTCTAGCTAATGTTTTGGTATGTAATATTTCCAGGGATATGCTGCTAGGGAATTTGCAAAGCTTGGCGTCGGTCCGGGAAAGTTGGCGATCATCTCGAAAGAGGGGGTATGAGTTTCTAGGTCTAACCTGTACCTTTAGTTGTGCTTTTTTGTTGTCCCTTAATTCTAGAATTGCGTTCTTATAACTGTTATGGAATGGCATCTTTTATTTACACTGTGGTGAGGTTGTTAATTATGACCAATGATTAATTACTGAATTTTTCTGTGAATGAGTGAGGATGCCATTGTTGTCAATATTTCTTGCTATCCTTGATTATACAAAACCCATCATTTTAGGTTATCATTTCAAGTCCCCCAATCACCTGTGGAATTTATTTCAGTTTGAGATAATTTCATTCTATTTGGTGAGTTAACAATAAAGTTTACTCATTTGCAAATAAAATGATGTTTTTAGTATTTCCACTTGTGTAGATTTTATTAGTAGGAATGATTTGTATATACAAGCAATCCCTAGATTTATAAACTTGCTGTCAAGTTATAATAGCCATAAAATACCTATGAATTAATTAACTCACAAAGACTTATCAATCTACTCAACACATTTATTAAACCACATAATAATCCCAGTCAAAGTAACAAATCGCTTATTTTGTCACCACTGAGCGAGTGATGTGCACTCCCTCCCAGTTGAAAATGGTTAATGGGATAATATCATGTATTGCTCAGCGCATTGCATGCATGAGTTCTTGCTTGCTAGTTTTATTATTAATATTTGACTTAAATGGCATAGATCATTTATAAATTTGATTTGTATGATGGTTACTAAATAGTTTAATACCATGCAATGTTTCTTGTGGTATAGGTGCTTCAATTAATTGAATGCTTAATTTACAATTTACAGCAAGATTCTGTTTGTGCATTGCATTGTGCTTTGATAACTTTGTTTTGATGTGGTAGGGTTTGAAATTTTAGTAAATCAAAATGATCTAGTTCTTCTTACAACTTCAACTGAAAATTTTACTACTTTCTCTTCTACGTTTTCTGTTGACTTTTAGCATACTTCCTAATATAATGTACCTTTTTTTTCCTCAGGTTGCTCCTTATGAGAGACCAGCACTTAGCAAGGCATACCTATTCCCACAAGGTTTGTATTTGATAAGTGATTTTAAATATTGGTTTTTTGTGCTTCTTATTTAATCAAAAGTTGAAGCGACCCAAATCCCCACCCAACCTAAACGGCATGCTCTGTCTTGGTAATTCCTTAGCTTAAATTTACATCAGCTGAGCATGAATTTTTCGTATATTATGCTATTCAAAACAAGGCATAATTTGAAATTTCTATGATGAATTAATTAGTTGTATTGGTGGTGTAATTTTCCTTTATAACTTGTGATTTCTGTAAAAAATTGTTTTTGAGCGAGGAAGATTTTCTTTCTGATAAAGAAGGTGTCTTTTGCTTTTAGGTGCTGCAAGATTGCCTGGTTTTCATGTATGTGTTGGGAGCGGTGGAGAGAAATTACTTCCTGAATGGTATTCGGAGCAAGGTAGTTCTTCTTTCTTCAACATACTTTTAGTTATCTTAGGGTGTGTTTAGATTGAAGGAATTAAAGGAAATGTAACTTCTTGTTTCTCACAGTTTCATATTAGGTCTTTCATGCCACTCTAATTAATAGGTAATTCTCAAATTTTTCTAAAAAAATTGAACAATTGCATTTTTCCATTCGAAAGTTCCTAAAAAGGTTTGAAAAGTGTTTATTTAGTCATTGTGATTCACACCACAACAACAACAAAGCCTTAATCCCACTACGTGGGGTCGGCTACATGATTCCTTTTTCTCCATTGCGTCCTATTTAGTGTCATATTTTCATTTAGTTCTAGTAAATTAAGATCATTGTTAATACAATAAGCCCAAGTCTTCCTAGGTGTACCTCTGCCTTTCTTAACACAAGTCGAATCTAAAATATCTACTCTCCTAATCGGGTCATCAGATGGAGATGGTCGACTGTGACCAAACCATCAAAGACGGATTTCTCTAATTTTGTCTGTCACAGAAGCTACACCAACCCTATCACGGGCAAATATATTCATTTCTTATTTTGTTTAAGTGTAAAGTCACTCATCCACCTAATCATTCTCATCTCGGCAACACTTAACTTATTATTATGCTTCTCTTTTAAAGGCCAACATTCAGCGCCATAGAGCATTGCAGATCTCACCACCGTCTTATAAAATTTTCCTTTCAGTCTAGGCGATATTTTTCTATCACATAGAAGACCCAAAACATTCCTCCGCTTCAACCAATCAACTTGAATTCTACTATTAACATCCCCATCTATGTCACCATCGCTTTGAACAACAGACCCAAGGTATCTAAATCGTTCACACCTTTTAATAATTTGATCACCCAAAGTCACACTTCTGTCACTAGAGCTATTACTACTAAAATTACATTCCATGTATTCAGTTTTAGTTCTACTTAAACGAAGGCCTTTAGACTCCATTTTTCTCTCGTTTTATCCACGAGAAGGATATCATCAGCAAAAAGCATACACCAAGATACATACTCCTGTAGATGTCCAGTAAGGCCATCCATAACTAAAGCAAAAAGATATGTACTTTAAGTCGATCCCTGATGTAATCCAACAGAAATAGGAAAATATTTGGTCAATC